TATATATATATATATATATATATATATATATATATATATATAGTGTGGACGAAGATTAAAATATGCTGTGTTTATTTTTCACAGATATATCTGTAACATCAGCTGAAGGATCTTATTGCATGCAACAACAAAAAAAAGTATGTCCTGTAAATCTGGGCTGCTTCTGGGACACTGCTTAATTTGCAATAAATAATTTAATATTAAACACAGTTTCAGTGTATCCAGAAAGCATTAAAGGGGAGAATTTACATAAAAAATATATATATTCTGGTAATATAGTCAAGATATGGGAGATCGGTCATAAAATCCTGGATCAATGCACCATGGAAAAATGTATACAGCTATTTAAACTGAAAACAACAATAAGTTCAGATTTCCCCACTGACCCATTTGTTTTGTGTCAGAGAACAATGGCAGCCCAGCTATACGTGCTCTATGTGACGCTGGACAACACAAAGCTTTCCATTGGCTGCTCCACTGAACAAAGCTAAAACAAGCATTTCATAATATACCTGCAGACTTTTATTATTTACATAAAATAACTCTAATATTTTACCATCAGCAATGCACTCAAAAGCAAGGAAACTGCAATATATCGGAGAAAAAAATAAATCAATGCCTTTTCTTTTAAATATGAGATTAAATATCCGCGCTGACTAAAAACATCCAAGAAAAATGTATGAACCTGCACAGCAAAATGTATTATTTTTTATAAAACCTGAAAGCTTTATCAGATTATATATATAAAATCAACTCTGTGGTATTTGGAGTTGCTTCAAGTCAATGGTGATATTAGCTCCTTGTTATCGCGTTAGTTGTTCCCAAACGCTTAAATGTGAGATAAATTATGTTTATCCCACCGGAAGAAATTATTTAGCGACTTTACTATCAGTTTGACACAGGTCGACTTTTGTGTTGTTGATACTAGCGTCCCCTTTGTCCTCGCTAGCTTCACGTTAGCCGCTTCATGCTACCGTTGACACTAGCATCGATGCTATCTAAATCTGCTCCAAAGCGCAGAGGCCATAGAACTACTGTTTTAATAAGGCAGCTGCTATTCAACGACACACAAAGGTGGTTTTAAAATGCGTTCACTATATGGTCAGACTGACGTCTAAAGCTACCAACAACAAAGGTGTATAAAATGGAAGAGGGGGAAAAAAAGAAAAGGCCTCGCTAAGCACAATCCCATCCCGACATTACTCGCTGGGATTCAAGACAACAGAAAAAAATGAGCGAAGGGGCATCTTTAAAAGGAGCGTTCATAGCGAGAAAGGGAGCCAAATGTTCGCTGGTCCAATGAACGAGCAATTGAGTTAAACGTCTACTAAATGGGGGAATGTTAACCGTAGCTTTAACAGGATGAAGAAAATGTGTTTTTATTACCTGCTAACACGCTTCCCTCGGCCAGCAGCAGACAGTGTGGTCACGTGACACGCGTTGCCGCGGTGGATGCTCCTCACTGCTCTGCTGCCTTCCACCGACAAGCATCACGAAGCTATTTAGCTTTTTTGGCCCTTCACTTGCCTTTGACATTATTGCTTCAGTGTTTTGATGAGTTTGCAAATTAGAAAAAATAAATAAATAAATAAATAATAATAATAATATATAAATATATATATATATATATATATATATATATATATACATTTTATTTGTATTGCACTTTACATTTAAAAAAAATCTCAAAGAGCTACAACATTCATAGTTAAAACAAAACCGTACAATAAAAACAGCATACATAGTTAAAATGAGACATTACAATAAAATAACATATGTAGTAAAAACAAAACAGTAAAATAACCATAAAACCACACAGATAAAATACTAACTAATGTTCAAAGGCCATTTTAAATAAAAATGTCTTGAGGCCTTTCTTGAACGCCTCCACACTATATATATATATATATATATATCTATATATATATATATATATGGAGCTTCAAATTCAGCTTGTTTTTTTATTTAATAGTAGTATACAGAATGAGTGTCTGCTTGTGCCGAAGCCAACATTTACATTGGGCGAGGTATTAGATATGTATTAATGATGTATTAAAACTCTTAAGTATATTTTATCTGTATTTCATTCTCTTTGGAAAAAAAAGCAAATATGTAAAAGTCACATATATGTCTATGTGAATGCACTGTATATAGCCTACTGTATATATCTTATCCTTTTTCTTCCTTTGGCACATTCTTCTTCTCCTTTGTCTATTTGACCTGATGTAACCAGTACATTTCTCCAATGTGGGATCAATAAAGTGAATCAATTAATCAATAAATTGTGTTTCCACCTGTGAAGAGCTGGCTCAACAGTGGCAGCAGAAAACCTACAGAGCTGAGTAGAGAATATTTGTAATCAGAGTTTGAATTTTCAAGGTTTCTAGTTAAAGCACTAAAACCTCCTCAAAGATGATTTTGACTTGAGAAGTCAATGGTCTGGAAGCAGCCATTAGTTTAAAATCCAACATGAGTCATATGAGGCACAGAATAGAAGCCAGCTCTTTCCATGAAAGTAGATTCCATAGAAAGGAGGGACCTGTTTTCTCTAAATAATTGTTCTGCTTATACAAACGGGTAAGATTAGACTCAATGATCAGGTGTTTAGTGATTTTATCCAATACACCAGAATTAGTTTGGTGCTCTGTATGTGAAGGTATGAGTGTTGCCAAAAATGGTGACATTGTCTCTCTATGATAAAAAGAAATGGGTCTTTAATGAGTGAGCAATAATTTTTACTATATTTAAGTGAGTCACAAAGCCAATGTTGCAGATCCTGATTGAACAGATGGAAACTGGGATCCTATCTTCATATGACTGAAGCCTAAAACTTTCTGTAACTTCTAAATCACTTGAAGACAATTGTAAAAAGCATTCAATTGCTCTAAAGGACAAATCAGTTATGGCCTCTTCTATCAGCACATGTAAATATGAGAAATTAATTTAGTACAAAAAAAAGTTAAAGTGTATTTGGAATCAATTAGATCAGGTAATTATGATCATCTGCCAAAGGACTGAGTATTTTTCCTCTTTTACTAAGATAATGAGATTTGAAATACGTTGAGTTTTTTTTATTCGTAAATGATCTTATTCCTTTGTCAAATTGTCTAATGATACATTATTTGCTCAAACCAAATAATATATTTATTTCAAGAAAAAAATGGCTTATGTTTCAATTTTTGCAGTGTGTTTTCAATACAGGGGCTAGGACCAATGTTATGTGGCACTGGCATGTGTCAAGAACTAACCAATCCCATAAGGGTAAAACATAAAACCACAACTATGTTGTATATTCATCATCACTGATCGGTACTTTTTGTTTCATGTTAAAAAAAAAAAAGCATAGAGATGATCTAGCATCAAAAATTTGCCTTATTTAACATTTAAATGGGATTTTATTGTGGAATCTGACCACAGCTTTAGGAGCCCCTGAACCAAAACATGGATAACATTTCTACTCTAATCATCTTCATCACTAGAAAAAAACAAAACAAGCCAACAAATACATTAATATACATTTTATTGTGTTATTTACTCCTCTTTAAAGAATTTGATTCCTGACCCCCCCCAAGGTGTATGTATCAGTCATTGGTAAAAACATTCATGAGGCTTGTATATATATATATATATATATATATACACACATATATATATATATAAAAAGTGTCAAGGAGACAGATCGATCCACACAATTTCTTGGACATTCACAGAAAATGTATGCGACTGTCCTTAATGTATTTTACAAACACACATGTACACATTTATATATATATATAAAATACACTTTAAAGTGTTGGTTGTTAAGGTAATATTCAGAATTGTTTTGCTTCATGTAGAAAAGGAAACCAATAATTAATTCTGTGGCAGTCTTTCACAGAAAGACCCGAGGAAGGCAAATACGAAGCTGAAGCCCACCCTGATTCTACATATAATACGGGGGAACACAGCCACTCCCTGGTGGTGGGAAAGGATGAGCGGCTATGGGGAAAGGTATGTATGTGCCTGAAGAATTCACTCTGTCCAAAAACTTCTACAGATCATCTCTGTTCCTGATGGATCATCATATCTGATATGTTATGAAAGCTATCCTCAAATGGAATAATCAGATAAACAATCCTAAATGAGTAAATGAAGGTAAAATAGCATAAAATATAGATCCAGATAAAGTAAATTAGATCATCAGGATTGGTTCAGATTACAGTGGAAAAAGAAATTAAATGCATTACGTCAGAGCATCAATACTGCAATGATCAATTAGTGATCAATTAACTTTTTCCCCTCTTTAAAATCCCAGACCAAAAAACAAACGGACAAGATGCAGTTCTTCGTTTGACGTCTGAAAGCAGAGGAAAGAAGTTCTTTGCGATTGTTGATCCTTCTTAGATTTCAAACTGCACCCTCACTCAGCCCATCTACATGAATGGCATCTTTCATTATTGCTCTCCATTAATGCTAACAAACAAAAACAAACGATGTATGAATTCTACTTTTCTTTGTTTGTGTTTTTCTTGTTTTTTTTTTTTTTTTTACAAAGTCACTCAGAGAAAGCAGCAATTAATACTATCCTTGAGTAAAAAAATAAGCAAGCCAAAGACCACAGCGTAATCCCTGCAGGTTGGATGCAGATGTATAAACGATGTTAAAATGAATACTTTTATTTTCAAAATCTGAGTTTCTCAGTGGCAGACTTTGTAGCTCTTTAAATTATTAGGTAATTTAACATTTCTATATACATATCTATCCACATATATATCTATATATAGATATATATATATAAAGGGAGGGAGGGGGGATAAAATGTGACAAGATATCATTACAGGGAAGATAAGCAAAATAAAAGTGGAAACAATTATACACAGCAACAATATTAACTTATGAAACACCATGCTCCTGAGTCCAAATGTGAAAAACAGATCATCTGATGAACATGGATAGTGAAAATAATACGAATGAACTCGTGGAGGGAGGACAATGGAGAGACTTCTGTCACATATTAGAATGTGATGAAGGAGGCAAATGAGGAGGAGGAAGAGGCTAGCTCCAAAGTCCTGCGTAGTTTCCATGCAGGCCAGAGCAGAGCGGCCCACCAGCTACGAACAGCTTGGTACCAGAGTCGTCGTAACAGTGGGTGTACACAGCGTTGGGGAAGGAATTAATGTCAGAGAAGTAACTCCTCCATGTTTCATCGTGATTCTGAAAGCAACACAAACCGGAAGGACGAGAGAAGGAGAGAAATAAGATCTTTTCTTTTTGTTGTTTTTTGTTTTACATTTTGTTTTGCTAAGGAAAAAAACTGATGAAAAAAATCTAAAAATAAAATTCTTACCAGCCAGCCTTTCCCTGTGGTTAGTTTAAGAATGCCATCTGTGGGACACTTCCGATATCCGCTGGATGGATTAAAAGGGTTTTCTAGGAACCTATGAGCCCGGATGTCGTAGAAGAGAAGAGAACCCTGGCCAGTACCCACAGTCACAATGTGCTCATAGAAACTCACAGATCGGATTCCTGCATAAAGACAAAGCTATGCATTAGTGAAAGGCAGCAAAAGTCCTTGGAACAAGACATGTAGAGAAAACTGTGACCGAGTGATGGAAGGCTTAGATCTGACCAGATTTTATCCTATTGGTCTTAGGTGAGCAGCATTTAAAATTTCTATTCCCGCTATGGAGATACTCTTATCTTATGTTACAGAATGGTCCAGTCATAGTCGAAAAGCTGGAACAGACAAAGCCAAAAACAGTGGCACTTGGGATTTTTATCTCTGCAATGTGCCTTTAGATGACATGCGTTTTGAACTGGTGCTATATAAATAAACAGAATTGAATTTTACAAATTATTGACCCAAGAAGGCTAAATATAAATGCAGGACACATTTTTATGATATTAGTTGTATCTTTTGTCTATTTTAAAACTCTAAACTAATTTATGTTGACCCTCAACATAAAGTCCAGATGAAACATGTTGAAATAACAGTTTGAATACTTCAAAGCACTTGAAGGAAATACTTCAGAGCACCAAACCTTTGTTTTTTATATTTAAACAATATGAAGTACAATATTTTGATTAAGCATTCAAGATTGCCATAAATCCACATCTTTAAAATGGAAAAAAAAAAAAAACAGTTCTTTACAGAGTATTAAATACTTGAATATCAGTAAAAGTATGATTTTGCATCTTCTAATTCTGCCACAGCTCACTTACCACTTCCTCTCTCTCTAGAACTAACAGACTTGATGTTGTGCGTAGGCTGGCGTGGATCCAGAAAGGAAACATGGGCCTGAGAGCCCACGGCGTACACGGACCAGTCCTGCCCATATGCTAAGCACACATTCTCTTTGCAGTGAGGCAGCTTGGTGGACAGTATCTAGAGAGAGGATGGAAAACAGCAAGAATTTCAACACTAAAAAAAGAAATCCATCCAGCAACATCTGTTACTGATGCTCCATAAATGTAGAGAGCAAGTATAGAAAATAAAGACATGAGGAAATCATCTTAGTACACAGGTGAGCAAACTTATGCTTCAAATTACAGAACAGAGCAAATGATTGAATCAGCATGTTTACCTTGCACAAGTTATGCTCTGCTTTCCAGAGATGAAAATAACCATCCAAGGACACGGCACCCAGCTCCTAAAATGGAAAAACAACACAGGAAGGCAAGGCATAAATAACTAGGATAGGAGGGAACAGAAACCTAAAGGAAGAGAGGTACCACTTCCCACAGACTTAAAGTTCTTGATGTTTCCATGGATGTTTTGTGTTCCAGTTTATAAAAAAAATAAAACCTAGTGTTGTGCTGATATTAACCCCACAGCGAGATGAAGAAGACAGAGAATCATCTACACATGTAGGAGTGTGCATAAGCCCATTTCTCCATGTGCACGCCGTTTAAAAGTTGCTGTTCTCATAGCTCATACAAGCTTACTGTGTCCGAACGTCTGCTCTAACCCCTAAATCACTGAGAAAGGTGAGCTTCAATGACTCTCTGAAACTGTAGCTCACCACAGATATACGAATGAGAGTGCGCATGCGCAGAAAAGCTAACGGGACAAGCACGTAGGACGACCTTATGTAAACATATCACCAGAATGATTGACAATAATTCAGATGATCCAACCTGAAATAAAAGATCATTCTCTATACCTTTAAGCTGTTTTATGAAGATATTTGGCTATAAGTGTTATGAATGATCTTTTAAAGCTCGAAGTGTGAGATCTTATTTCATCTGGGCTCCTGAGAACATAAAAAAAGTATGCACCCAGAGGGGTCTTACTTTGTGACTGTTGTTGAAGGCCAGAGCTCGAACTTTGCAGTTATATGGGTTGGTATACTCCTTGGGAATGTCCTTCAGGGCACGGTGGGAGATGTGGACATAGGAGGGCACTGTGTCGTCACTCGGACTCCTCTTGGATTGATTGATTACCTTCTCTGTGATCTCCCACAGGCCCATGGAGCCATCTCTGGACCCTGCAATTGAAAGCGAGCACAGCAGATTATGTGATAGCAGAGAGTAGTTTTTTTTTTTAAGTGGTTACCACAGCAGCTTGAAATGAGAGAGCTTGTCCCTGCTAGCTTTACTGACGGCCCAGGGTTCACAGTTCATACACGCTCACTCACCAGAGACAGCCATGGAGTCACTGATCCATGCTATGGAGAAAATCCAGTCATTGTGGCCATCCTGGAAAACAAGACAATTATTCATGTAACTTTTGTACTTTTTAACTCAAAATGAAGCTTGAAATAGTATTAATCATTGATGTGCTAAATTCCTACATTCTTCTATGAGCAGAAAACTCTACATCGGAGTTAAAAGCTTTATCAAACTGTAATTGTATGTAGATGTCAAAACAGGTTCTGAAACATCAAGTTATCATTGTCACTTTTTCCGCTCAATGCAACGGGGAATGACGAGATAATTAAAAAAAAAAAGAAATAAAAAAAAGAAGGCATCTCAAATAAGATGGTGTTTTTTTTACAATTGTTATAGTTTTTCCCATGGCAATGTAGCCACAAGGTTTACATCCTGGACCTGTGTGATGCCTTTACTAATAATAACAACAAAAATCCCAAATTTTTCCAGCAGAAAATCTTCTAATTATCAGCCCATTTTATTATTTTCTTTATTTTCATTTAGAATTTGCATAAACTGTAGGTTGAGTGACCTGTTTTTGCATTTGCAATAGAACCTCAATTTAATAAAATACAATTTTTAAATTGCAGATCACTCAATTTAACTCGAGATTAAAACCCTAAATTTCTTACTCCAACTGTTTAAGTAGCAATAAAAAGCTTAAAGCGGGTTCGCCATCACACAGAAAGGTCAAGAGAGTGGCAGTTACCACGCAGATTCATGCATGGAAGTAGAAATAAGCACTTTTCACACAAAGGTTACACTAAAATCCTGAAACAATGGAGTCCTTTCAAAAACTAAAAGCCTGTGGTGAAACGTCTACAAGCTTGGGGTTAGTGCAAAGGTCAATCGCAATAAAAATCGCAATATTGGTGAAAACTAATTGTAATGATGACTTTTTTTTTTGGTAAAATTGGTCAGCCGGTCATAGCACTGAAACATCAATTATTTCACCAAGTTTCTGAATGAGACCTTCCCGCAGTTGCCCTTGAATCAATCTCTACGTGCTTCAGAGGTAACTGCACCGAGCCGTATGTGCCTGAAACAAAGGGGTAGAATATTCCACTGTATTCCTCACAATAGACAAAAAAAAAGGTGCAGACTGTACAGTTTAATGGGTAATTTTGTTATGATCTCTTTAACTGTTAAGACAGCTGTGTTCCAGAGAATATGGGACTTTACAGTCATCTTTGCTTGAGTTTTAGATGAGGCAAAAAAAAAAAAGGGTTAAGTATTAGCTGGAAAAACATTTGGACCCACAGTCCGGGCAGAGCCAACATGCAAAGCAAAAAAATAAAACTGATTTGTCTCTAATGCACACATAAAAATATAAACTTTCATTTGAAAAGAACAAACATTTACTCAAACAGCTAACCTGTATTTTTTAGTTCAAAGGTGAAGCTAGTGTCTCTCATTTAATGTTGCTTCCTTTGAGACTCTTTAGATCAAACCTATATTGTCTTGTCACCTACTTTCTTTAATATTCAATACTGGCATAGATTTAAAATACAGTAATTCCAGGGTTTATACAGGAATGAGTAACTCTAATTTAATGTTTTTTAATGCCAACAACAATTACCCATGACTCTCCACTTTTGTTGATATTTGCATTTTCCTATTCTCTCGCTTTTTCTCCACCTCAAGCTTCTTTTCCGAACATACGGCTTTACGATCAACCCGAAGCAGATCTGCGCAAACATATTGCGAGATAATATATCTGAGGAAATTGTTTTAATAAATGTATTTTTATTTCAAATGAAGAATTTTAAATGCCACAATAATCACATTTAATGAATTTTAATTTCCAATTAAAGCCTTAATTAAAAAAATAATAATTTAATGACTTTTAATAATTTTCAATGACCCGCGGAAACCCCCTAATTCATATTTGTGTAGTCGTGTTTCTTCTTTTTTAACTGAAACATAAATCTGTAAATGTGACATTATAATCAACCAATTTCCTCCTGAATTGCCTTCAAAATAACTGACTTCAAAAGTCAATTAACTAGTAAAATAAGTAAAATCCAAAAGTTTCACGCAGCACTGATAAATCCATCCGCTGAAAATGGAGAAGAGCATGCCAGATATTAACGTACAATAATCTGCTGGGAAATGAGAAAGTGAAAAAAGCAGCCGAATTGCCTATTTGCAATTGAATAAAACCAAAAGCAGAACATGACTGATAAAATGTGTTTTGTCCCTTATTATTTAATTTTCCTGCAGTGTTGATTTTAATTTGCATGGGTCTGAGCTGGAAAACCTTTTTATGTCATGTTTGAATCACGATCAAGGACCACCTGATATCACTCAGAGGTGCAGCAAATGGTCCCCAGACCACACTTTGGACAGAAATTTGTTGGTCTATAGATGCTCTAAATCCACTTTTACTAAATTTCAGAGTCTAAATGTGTGAAGTTTGTAGTGATGTACCCTAAAAGATTTTTTAAGGCTCTAGAGGCATTTGTTTTTTTTTTTAATTTAATTTCTCTAAAGTAGGCAGACCATAAATTGGATCAGAGATCAGCTGTGTTGAGGACCAAAGCCCCTGTACATGGGCCACAGGTTTAACCCCTGCACCACCATCACACTCTTATCAAAACATTATAACTGTAGTTGGAACAAAAATAAAGGCTCGTACAAATTACTGGTTCGGGATGCTTATGCAGGCTACATTTTCTTTTTTTTTTTTAGTTTAAAAAACAAAACAAAGCCATTTTTCTTTCTTCTGCTTGACGATGATCTTTATCCTTATGTTGCCACATCAGACAGTTAATGAGTTCATATGATGGAAATACCTGGTAAGCTCTACGATTCAGTTTTTAAGTTTTGTTTCTGCGTCAGTTGAGTACCAGTCTGCTGGTTAAAAAAAACTGGTTACAATTTGTAAGGGGGATTTTACTATTTTAGATGGAGGGCAAAGAATGTTCCACAGGGAGGGGATGTTATCCTAATTTAGGGTCAACTGTAGGGATGCACAATATAATCGGCCCCTATCGGTATCGGCCTTAAAAGTGAATATCGGACATCGGCCACCCCACCGATATTTAACCCGATATTTGATCAGCTTCTGAGTTTCTAAAGTCTAAAAAAAATAAATAAATAAATACTACTTCTTCTTCTTCAAAAACTTCTTTTTTTACAGACTTTTAAACTTCTAAAGACGAGGGAAAAAATATTGATACATTAAAATATCACAATATATGCTGATATATTGCCATTTGAAAACACCATATCAATCTCTTTTACTAATGAAATATTGCTATATGTCATCGTTATGCTACGAAAATTCACGAAATGTTGCCATATTTTTATATGTTGATATATTGACGCGGTATCGATCTATTTTACTAACAAAATCTCACAAGAATTTGCAAAATATCACGAGTTTGTAACAGAACGATGAAATTTACACGAGATTTTGAAAGTAAAATAGATCGATATCGCAGTTTTAAAAATCAATTTGATATCAGCATATGAAAATATATTTGAGTATATTATTTTTCTAAGTGTCAGAAATGGATAACAGAACTGCTATTTTTAATGACTACTTATTTTTGTCCAGCTTTAACATCAGTATCGATATCGGTTATCGGCTACATGAGTTTTAAAATATCGGCATATCGGATATCGGCCAAAATCCCAATATCGTGCATCCCTAGTCAACTGGTTATAATGCTGTAATAACTACTGTATGGTGACATACCTGTTCATAAAAGATCTGACTAGCACTAAACTAAAACTATTTCTTTTTCTAGTTATCTTGAAAAAAATCTAGGCAGGGTTATGCAATTTGAAAATATTGCACTTTTAACTGTCCATAGATATCCATATGTGGACAGACTGACCCATGAGCTAAAATGGTGCAGTGGCATTTTTTCTGCAAACATCACAAAGGGTAGACTGAGTAGAATTAGTCTTAATGTTCAACATTAAAAACGATGTGACTTCACTTCACATTTGATCATTAAAGACATAAATTAATTTAAGATTTATAAATTGGGTTATTGAAGCGTGATGGAGAACTAGCGCCTTGTTTTATCAGTCATGCCGTAAACTTACATGTTGTAACAAGCTGAATTTTTTTTATTTTATATTTATAAGGATCAAAACTAAGGAGATACTTACATCTCCAACACACACAGGGTCCAGTGTTGGCAGCTGGTAGATAGCTAAGCTATTGGGGTTATCTCCTCCAGTGGCAAGCAGAGTTTTTGAGGGATTGAGTTCAATTGCATGTATGCCACAACTTTGCTGGTCCAGCCGGTCATGAGAGCCCCCTGTTGGGAAATAGCGGCGTCCCGTCGTCATAGGGCCTACCATCCCAGGGCCTGCATCACGACACTCCCTGTCCTTCAGCATAGGAATGCGTGTTATTTGTCCTGTCAGGACATCCACGACAAACAGCTGCAAATAAAGAAGAACATCCAATCGGTCAACCCGAGGAACTTTAGAACATCGACAATGACAGACGGCAAAGACTGGGTTATTTTACCGTGTTGCACTTGGTTCCACACACCACCTGCCTATGGTTGAGCCACTGTGATGCGAACACCTTGTTTAGTCGTCCCAGAGAAAACTCCTTCTCCTTGAGGATTCCAGGGAGCTTGCCTGCAGCGAAGCCCCGCAGGCTCCGCTGAAGCTGAAGCTCATGCTGCTGCTGGGGTCTGAACTCCCGTCCACGGAGGGCACACACGACAGAGCGCTGGCTGCACCCCCACTCCTGGGCATGCCGCGATGAACAAGAAATACGGATCCGCTTTTGTGGCGCTTGACACCAACCCAGCTGTGGAAAAGGGAAAAGAGAAGTCAAGGAATCTTTTTATAGATAAAAGGAGAGTTCCAGTGCAAACACAATTTTGGCCATTCAAGAAAGGTTAGTTTGCATTTAAAAATAACAATAAAGTGGTTAAGACAAAACTTAGTGAAACATTTCTAACTGGAAAAAATAAAATAAGTAAATGAGACATTCATACAAGAGAGCCTTCAGAAACCCCTTAAATGGTTATTTTTTCTTTTGGGATCATTTAGGGATTTTTGAATTGAAGCGACATCTAAAAAATGTTATGAACTTTGAAATAGCAGGTCGATTTCCACTGTAATTAAACAACTGCGCACTATATTTACCAACTAGTAGAGTTAATAGGGTTAATTTAGGGGTACCAGAGTCAAGGGGTTTCACTCATCTATCTTGTAAAGCTTTTCAGACTGCACTACTACGTGTTGGTTTATCAGATGAAATTAAAAAAGGAAAGGAAATATGAAAATTTTAACATTTACATTACAAAGGCACTTAATCTCACTTTATGAGTCAAACACTATTAAAAAAAACATGATTGTTCAAGGTGTATATTTTCTTTCTAAGTGACCCACTTTTTTATCGGATTAGACAAACGCATTTTAGTGCATTATTGATAAAAAAAAAAAAATACAGTTAAGAGGAAATGCAGCATGGCGTTGGTAAACACATGCTGTAATTAAGCATTTGTCTGGCATTTATGATCTCCTTGTAGATGTTATGGTATTAGGGAACAATTAAACTGACTAATTAATTACAGTGAGTCACGGTGTAGAAGGTAGCTCGGCTAACCGGATTGACTAACGCTGACGTTTAGGAAAATGCTTTCCAGTTTAAGATTACAATAGGAATTTCTTCTTTTTTTTTTGCGTTGAAATGTTCGTATGAGGTACTCAAGAAAAGGCCATCACTCTTATTATAAGGATATAAAACAAATCAATTGCAAAAAAACAGCTGTTGAATTTGAATCCTCATCGCAACTGGGCATCTGAGCTAACGTTAGCTTTCCAACGATAACGGATTGCCGTTGGCTAATGTCAAGCTAACATTCGCAAAGGCTACACTCAAATGGATAGATAATTACTCTCTTTATATAACTCCGTTTTTGTGAGTTCTAGCTAATGTGCATTCAGTATAGCGGTGAAGCAGCTAAATATGACGGGTTATAATAAGGCTTTTATAAGCTAACACTGGCTAGCACATAGAATATTAGCATGCTAATTTTCACAACCGGTTTCCGCCTACCTGTTGTTGGTCCTTCGGCTCTCCTGCCTTCCTTTTCCTGCTAACTGTTTTTCTCGCCATAATCTGACACACACAGTTCCTTCACCCACATGGAGGGTAAAATAAACACTGGGTACTGGGTCATTCAATGGCGATATGCTATTTTGTTCCTCGGCCCTCGCTGGCTGTGCCCAACGATGAGGTAAGGCGATCACATAAGGGTCAATTCTGTCAGAGCTTTTACGGTAAAGATTATGATAAATATGCAGCTCCGCCTCCTGAACAATATCACCCAGCGTCCGTAGAAATTATCCCGTTTCTGCTTTGTATCGGTTATTCCTGCCAAACGGTGTCAACGGCAATGGCAAGCGTTGGGTACTGCGCAGCCGCACACAAATTCAACATCAACAACAACAAGGTCGGACGTTGTACGTAATGACGTCACTTACGTAATGACGTCACATTTTCTGGGAGATAAAAGGAAATTACGGCTTTCTTAATGATGGGTACACCCTTTATTCATTTTAAAGATGTTTATGTTGTTTTTTATTAGTTTAAACTAATTTAATTTAATTTAATTTGCTGAAATGTTTTTTTTTTGTATTTTATAATATTTTATCATTTATTTAAAAAAAAAAACTAGAATGTTAGAACTCTAAATATCCAGTCATATATCTATATTACTGTTTTTATGTTTTACTGTTTTCAAGGCTGCGCTTTAAAAAACTGAATTTGTCTGGAAAGCTGTTCTTAAAGAAATTTCTATTTGCTTACATTCGTGTACACAAAATGACAAAATAAATCTGTCTAAGTCTTTTATGCTTAGAGATAGAGATTAGAGATTTTTTTTCAGCCTTGTGTTTTATTCTCTGGGACATATGCATTTCCCCCACTGTAGGCCACTTTTTTTGACAAACAAAAATCCAATGTTGGGTTGTGCTACTGCATAACCACCACATGTTTACCACCAGAGCAAATATTGTCTCTGCAGGCTATACTCATCAATTAAACGTCATCTATTCCATGTGATGCTGGTGTCAAATCACTGTTTCAATAAAGCACTAATGCTTCCCCAAGAAATTACCACTAAGGTGGCATACACTTCAATTCAGAAATACTTTACTAATCCTGAACAGAAATTAAATGTTACAGTAACTCATATGTTTTTTTTTTTGTTGTTGTTGTTTTTTTTTTAAGCAGTTGTTGTAGGTGTTGATAGCTGTAGACCAGAGGATCTCCTGTACCGGTCTGTCTTGCACCGGATCTGGAAAAGCCTCTGAGTGAAGACACTCTGATGCAATAGACTGGCGACCTGTCCATAATATTCTTCACTTTATAAATTATTTTTCTTTGGGAAATAATCTCCAAATGTTCTGGAGGAGTTCCTAGAACAAAGCTGCTCTTCTTTCTTATCTTTGTTGAGCTTTTTGGAATCATTTGCTTTGATGCTGTTACCCNTGTTCTGGAGGAGTTCCTAGAACAAAGCTGCTCTTCTTTCTTATCTTTGTTGAGCTTTTTTGAATCATTTGCTTTGATGCTGTGACTCTAGCAGATGACGGCAGAAGTGATCACACTCTCCACAGCAGACTTAGAGAAGATATAAAAACACTAAAGGATCTAAGCTTCCTTAGAAAGTACAGTCTGCATCCCTTCTTGCAGACCGCTTCACAGTTGTGTCTCCAGTCGAGTGTTTTTTTTTTAGCCAGGTGAACACCAAGGTATTTATACTCCTTCGCCTCCTCCACTACTTTTAAAATATACTTTTTGACATTCAGGATCAGATAATATGATCAGTTAATATGGCCATATTTTATGTGGACAACAAATTTAACAGTTTTTTTTTATGCCTGAATTAATGCATAAAACAATGTGGTTTTTCAAGCAAAAATTTATTAAATGAGCAAATTTCGAACTGAATACATAACAAATGAAAAGGCAGCCATTGTCTGTATATTAACTTTAGTCATTTAAAGTCTAAAACGTATTTCTCAAAGTTGGACAACAGGCCTTTTTTTTATTATTCTAGTGTCAAAGTCCTGCTTTATGAAAACAAAAGTGGCCTTCTGTAGTCTTCTAATGATGTCTTAAAAATATATATCATCAGTAATAAAAAATAAATAAAAAATTAGTTGGACTGAACTAATGGCTACTGAAACCTTCTTGTTAGCAGATACTGCTTTTCCCAGATTCTTATTTGCAGACAGGTTGCATCTGCTCTTTAGATTGTTTCTGCTGGTCAGCTCTTTACAGTTGGATTTTTCCAGCTATTTAGGACAATAACTAGACACACAATCAACTGTATTGTTGCTGTCTTGTCAGCTGAATTGAAAGGAAATCATTTAATCTGCATTAATGCAAAACAAAGAGATTTGTTATTATCTGCAAGGTTTATTTTTACATCTTAAACATTCTTAAAACAAAACATGAAGCTTGAGAAAAAAATATAAAAAATAAAGAGCCTCACTCTGTTGAAAAGATGAGCACATTTAATCAGTTGGATTTTTCAAATAATTTAACAGAAAACTGAACATTTTGTTTTCGGAAACACATCAGTGAGTATAGAAAGAAACACTGAGCTCAACAAGCTCTGGCTTTATCATTAACATATCTCAGATCCTATTTAGATTTGCTTTGTGATGACATGGAAATATAAAAAAAAAAAATAAAGAATTAACACCTAAAATGTATTTACCAAAACAGAACTCATAAGATCAGAGCACAATCTGGCAAGTGTACGGTCTTGTTTTGTGTCTGTGGTCAAAAACAACTTAAGTGTGAAGACAATAATATCACTTCTGTGTTTCTTAATTCAAATTAAATAGAAAAGGAAGGAGCAGCTGTCAGTCATGTCAAACCTACAGAACTTAAAGTGCTTTCTAGAGGAACTCAAATGAAGTTTCATGATTTCGCAGCGGGGGATTCCAACTAATTATGAGTCTGAAAGGTATTTTATACTCCAATACTTTTTATATCCCAAAAGTACCATTATAAAATGTAATTTCACTGGTGTGTCCTCAAGAAGACAGGTGTTTGAATAAGGCATGGGATGGTTTCCCTTATTGAGATTTACCAGAGTGTCTGAATAGCTCAGGCTTCATAAAGTCAACATCAGTAGTTTGGTGACTGGGGTTGCCCCCGGATATCCAGATAAGGTAAAGTAAATCAGTGCTCCGATAAGCACTGGAAAATTACATTTAGTTATTTATTCGACATTTTTACAAGCTTACAATGCTCGTCAAACATACTTTCCCCCCCCCAAAAGACAAGCATCAGCTTAATAAATCCAAAAAGCTGTTTTAATTTATTAGATGAATAAGAGCTATTCAAACCAATACATCCATGTAAAAAAAACAAACTGCCCTTTATTCCCTTTATTTTATACTTTTTTTTTTTACCACCTTAAGCAGTAACAACTCAATTTAGTGTTTGCAATGACTGAAAGTGAGTCTCTTACACTGCTGTGGGGGAAGTTTGATTCAATGTTCATGTTCAGTCACCTCTGGTGATTCTTGATGCCACAACAGCATGTTTAAATTGGAGCTTTAACTAGGCCACAAGGGCGCCGCACTATTTGCTGTTCTTTCATCTTGCATGACCTAAGTGTCCCTTTGGCTTCTGGTCACAAACTGATGGGTCAGGCAATCTCTGGGAGGATTTTTAGGTAAAGGTTAAAAGAAATTCCTCCTTAAACTGTCCTACGTATCATGAAACTATCACCACTATGCAGGTCTTAGTGTTTGCAGAGGAGAACGTAAGACAATTCTTTAGGATCTTTTTGTCAGCAGTGGTTCTGGCCTTGGATGTCTGCCACTGAGTCAGTGTCTCTCAAACTACTGAATTAGGAACTGTGATCAGGTGAGGCTTGAAGTACATCAGATCCGATCTTGAGGGCTGGGTGGAAACTTCCTGAATGAGTCATCGAAGTCCTCTTACAATAGTTTTGGTAGGCTAGTCTTTCCAGTGTCGGCCATTTTTGAAAGATGGACTCTCACTGTAGGCTGACGTTTCACATTTGTTCTAATTTTGTTCTCTTTGGTCCTACTTCCATTTGATGTATTCTATTAATACGACTCTGATTCTACAGATATGGCCATAGTAAGGTCTGGGTATTGCTAATGAACCTAAACCCAGCCACTCTAGATATTTACAGCTGAATCCTTTTATAACAGTGACAGGTTGGTTCGGAAAGCCTTTTTCACCTAAATAAGTCAATATATTAAAATCTATATTTTTTTTTAACACTTCTTTTACTGATGTGCATATTTTAGTATAAATGTTAAGTTTATCATACAAATTAATGTTAAATTAAGCAACAATATGAGAAAACTGTTGCTCATCTTTTTTAAATAAAAACAATTCGATTATGTTATACACATGTGCTACCCTTTGTTGTGCGATACGACAGCCTTTTTACTTTTTACTAGACTCATATTGAGGGAATCTGCTGCCTTATATAGATTAGAGTGCTTGCCTTTGAACAATGGATGATATACTGGGCCCCACTGAGGCACAGAGCCAGTTTTGGGAACCTATTTTTCTTCATTTTAAGGTTTTAATCGCTTATGATGGCCTTGATACATCTCACATATCAATAAACTATACCATGTAAATGTAAATCTCAGTCATTCCTGCTGCTACTCAAGTTGAGAAAATATTGTTTCAAAAGCCCATTGACACTTAGCAATAAAAATTATTTTCTCCTGTTTGATGATCATCCAATCAGAAAAAAAAAATGTAACTAAAAACAAAAAAATAGACGCCACATAAATGTTCAAATACATTAGAGGAAAATCAACTCTCCATCCCTCTGGTTTGATAGTAAGGAAGAAAACGACAGAAATCAATAAAATAGAAACTTTTCTTTCAACCGCATATCCAGTAAGGCTTTACAGACCATTCCTTTCAACATTTTTGGAGGCTCAAAGTGCAAGTCAACAGTCATAACAAATGAAATGTCTCTATTGCACTATGATTTGGCTGCAAAAAAAAAGAACCCTCACATCTTTTTGCCTCCATGTTTTCCAGTCTGTAAACGTCACATTTGTACGTTGACATATCTTACATAATCACACCAAACTCTTCATAAATCTTAACTCAAAGTGTCAGTGTAGAATTTTAAATATTAGAATGGTGAAACCTGTTGTATGAGTGACACTGGGGCAATGGATATACTGTACTTGTTTTAGAAAAAAAGATTCCACATTTCCCACTGTATCAAGGTTTTTTTTTTCCCCAGTGAAGGCTGAGGAGCGCAGCAGGGCACTCTTTCACAAACAGAGTTTTTATGACTAATGGTCTATAATCAAATTCCTATAACAGAAATTATATAAATGCAACCTTTAAACTGACAAGAATTGATGTCCAAACTGAACAGAAACAAGTAAGACATGAATGTAAGAAAGCATAAAGAACAGATATAGGTCCAGGGCACAACAGCTCAGAGGGCACTTCTTGAGAGTCAGCTCTGTACGGTAATTGTGCCTTTTTTTTTTTTTTTTTTTTTTACGTTGAGCTGGTTTAATTCCAAACTGGGCCTTCTCTCGACCTTTTCACACCCATCACCATGTGCGACGCCTGCAACAAGCAGTGGAAGATGGCAGCTTTGTTATTTAAGAGTTTTCTTGAAGTTCCCTCAAGTCTCCCCATGATGTGCACAGAGCCTGCCACTAACTCCTCCCCATTTGCTTTTGCAGCAGGAGGAAGCAAAGAGTAGCATCGAAATGACAGCTCAGTCATCAAAAACTCCAATAACACAGCGGTACCTGAAATCAGCATTTAGTATTGGTACAGGTAAACTCAATCCAATCTAGGCACACAGTTTTCAGAAGTGCTGCAGCATGGTATGTTTTAGCACAGACAGGAATCGCCTCCCAGGTGTCCTTCCCACATCCAAGGCAAAAGGGTAGGGAGTAGTGAGATAAAGTAGGCAGAGGGAAAAGGACTCGAGGATGGGAGCGGTGACAGATGACCAGGGTAGAGCGCTGGCTTGCCCTCTGCCTTGGCTCAGCTTGCGGCGGCACGCGCCATCAGATCCTCCAGAGCCTTGTCCTGATCGTTGTTGTGTACCAACAGAACCTCTTTGATGGCGTCTCTCTCAAACCCCATTTCACCAAATCTGGACATGAGCTCAAGATACTGCAAGGCCTGAAAGCAAAGATGAAATGTTAATGCATCACAGTCTGTTCTATTAGCAGTGAAAAAATTCATTCAGGATTCAGTTAAAAAACTAGTTAAATATCAAATCAACAATGTGTTCATCAGATCTTACCAACCTCCTGATGCCTGACTCCGTTAAATGTTAGGTTCGGGTGTTACTTTCAAAATATTTGTGCATATTTATGCTAATTTCTCTGAAATGATGACCTCCCCTTATAAGTATGTAGCCTCATTTTTTATTTTCTATGTTTGATTTATATTTATTTTTTTATAAATGTTGTTGGCATTGGCCATGAACAAGAGCTGAAAACTGGCTTCATATTATATATATATATATATATATATATATATATTAGTGCTGTCAATCGATTAAATTTTTTAATCGCGATTAATCGCATCAATGCCTGAGTTAACTCGCGATTAATCGCATTTTAATCGCACATTTTTTTCCTGATTGAAAATCATTTAAATACTCTCGATGACATACAAAAAAATACATACAGGCTAGGTTTGTGCCAATGTTCTTTTTTAAAAATGAAAACAGGTCACAGATACTGATTTATGCCATAGAAACATATGGCAAGAAGATGGGGAGGCATGTAGCAAAAAATAACAAATATGTAGCCAAAAAAAAGGCCCTGAAAACAAGCTGATGTAAAAGACAGTCTTTACAGTTAATACAGTCTTTTGAACAAAGACAAGCATTTTACCCTACTGCTATAAAATTTAGTAGAGTTAACATTAGATGTTAATTAACCAAGATAATAATGAACAATTTTCAATCAATACATCAAAATCAACAGACCGACATCACTAGATGGAGTCTATGCTCTAGAAAGTTACTTTTCAGCCTCTTAACAAAAATGAGAACACACACACACACCCACCCACACACACACACAGACACACGATACCGACCTGTTGCGTACACAGACAGCAAGAGTGCCGTAGCAGATTCCATTTCACCTCAGTAATCTGTTTTCTCAGCGTATTGCAGGTTGCTACTAGTTACCAGACACTCAACTTGTTTGTTGGTGGTGGGGCTTAAAGAAAAGGCACTAGCGTCACCCAGTGTATGAGTGTCTTTTTCCCTTGAGGAGCTCCGCTGTCGAAGCCTATGAGAAATGCATAGACTGGGGGAAAACAGCCCCGCCTTCCCGCAGGCTGCAGCGGGATGTACTTGGAAAATTGTACCATAAAACCACATAGCGTTAATCTCACGTTAAAAAAATTATCGCCGTTAAAATGGCCTCGCGTTAACGCGTTAATAACGCGATAATTTTGACAGCACTAATATATATATATATATATATATATATATAAATACTGACACAATGACAGAAATATTAATTGATGTGTACCATCCCTTACAAATAAACTAATAAAGAAAGAACTCAAGAAAAGACAAACCTTTTCCTCTGAGCAGTGGTACATCTCTAAACACTCTTCCACAGCACTGGCATCAAAGCCCCTCTCACAGAGACGGCCATGAACATCCAGATAGTCCAATACCTTGGGAAAGAGGAGAGGTAAATGTCAGCAATTGTCTCCAATAAATTACCTTCATCGGTAGCTTCTGTTTGTTTCTCTTTGTGGAAGAAATAAAGTAAAATGTCTTATAAGACATTAGGGAGTTATGGAAATGAAACAGGTGTATAAAAAATTACACCAATGGCCAACAGGCGATGAAGATAAAGATGACTAAATAGAGCAAGAGGGACGGGTTGGCCAACGTAGATTGTGTTTGTGTGACTGATTCTTATATATGCAATCCAGACAGAGAGCTAGTTATGACACAAAAAGCTAGTTTCTACCTGAAGCTGCGTATGGTTAGCATTGAGATAAAACATCTCAGATATATTAGCATGATTGGTTACAACTGAAATGTGCTTCACTGCCAAATTAAACAGTCATTCATTATTGTTCGATTTGATTCCTACTTTACATTAATTTTCTGCTGATGGTGTTAGCTCTAACTAATATAGTAAACAATAGATCCAAAGCTAATTACATTTACTCCAAACGAATATCTCATGTATAACTGCAAGGGAAACTTACAGGCAGCGACACAATCTGACATTTTACACATTTGCTTCAGTTCATTAAGTACTTCCCCATCATCAAACCAGGTGAAAAAAATGGCGAACACGAGTAAAAGGATATACAATTTTTATAGTATGTATACGTTTTAACATATCACATAAAACAATTTTTCAGTAAATAGGAAAATTAGATATTTAGGCCACCATTTTCAACTAGTTGTGGATCCCTTCACTGTGATACAACCAATAAGTTTTATAACTAAACAGTCATGTAACTCAGGTAACAGCTAAAAAAATCAGCTTTTTATAACAATTTTCGATTGACTGACCGTGTAGCTCCCAGTGAAAAAGAAATGTTAGAGGGGATAATTTCTTTTTTTCCCCCCCAGTGTTTTATTGTCATTACACTGTCACAAATACAGAGCAACAGTATTAACTCTGCATTTAACCCATCCCCTTGGGAGCAGTGGGCTACATCAAGTAACATGAAGGTCTTGCCTAATGACGAACACTGGCAGCTCATTCCCCCAGCCCGTATACGAACCCAGGTTTCCTGTTTGCAGGACGGGTGACTTACCACTTTTCAAAACAACTGAAAAAGAGTTATGAAAAGATTTTACTTACTTTTTCAGAGAAGATGTGTTTTCTGACTGGCAACAAATAATGATGATCCAGATAATCTTTTTCAAGTAATTTATTAATGATTCTGCCAAAACAGGTATTAACTTAAACTTTAATATGTCAGAGGGGATATTAGCTACTTGGCGGAATCTGTTATCTCCGAGTGCTTTTCTTGTTAGCTGTAGCCGTTATTCAGGGGCTAGCATTGCCTCCAGTAGTTTCAGTGAAAGATTGGTACAATGAATTCTTCATACCAAGAGATTCTGGACTTTGTTCCTTTGTAGGAACAGTTGGAGAAGGAGATAGATAGCTATTTTCTTCTTCTACACCAGAGTACAAAGCAAGACATGAAGGAGAGAGTTTGGTGTGGATGAGCTTGACTGAGCAGCACTGATTCCTGACCTCAACCTGATAGAACACCTTTGACATGAATTACAGCAAATAATGAGAGCCAGGCCTTCTCCTCCAACATCAGTTTATGACCTTAAAAGTGCTTCTGGAATAATGTTCAGATATTCAGATATACACGAACATAAATGAAAGAGGTCAACAGCAGGAGTGTATGATCAGAAATTAAGGAGGAAAATTAAAGAAGAAAATAAAACAATACAGTGAAATTTCCTCATTTAATGATAGACTGATGAATCCCAAATACGTAATTTGAAAAATCCTTGGAACAGAGGGATTCATAAGGCTGAAGTTAAAGTTGGTCAGTTGAGATTTTATATAATTAGTGCATCAAACCTGGTCTATTCCTTTGTGGTACATCATAAAAAACTTTAACCTTATGGCTAAAGGCTTCACTTATAGATACTGGTCATTTAAACAGTAAATGTGATAGCAAGGCACATTTATGTGAATTAAAAGGCTAAAGAAGCCCAACCTGCTCCACATTCTGGCCTTGTCTCTGCATGGCCCGTAGAACTTCCTCATAAGAGTAACCCATTCCCACCAGAGTCTCCACACACTGACGTTCACTGGGCGTCATGCTGAGAAGAGCTCCCCCACATGGCAGACCAGTAGATCCTGTTCCAGGGTTGGTCTAGTCAAAGGAAAACAACACACAACAAACACGATGAGTATCGAAGAGCTCCCCACATACCTCAAAGAAATAAGCAGTATGTTAGTGAAAACTCAACCGGTTTCGGTGTTCCACCCTTGATGTGGCTGGGAGGCTCAGGGGCAATAATAACTTGTGTTTTTGGTAACGATGGCGGATGGAACCTAGGTAGGTTCCGTCGGGGAGAAGGAATAGGTTCAGATGCAGGGCTGCTTTTTATTGACTCTGGTTCGCCAGAATCAGAGAGTTTGGGGAAAGTCAGAGAGCGGATGTTACAAGGCCGATCGTCTGTTTCTAAGCCCGCTCTTCCGGGATGTCCGACTTTGTCTATATCAAGCAGTGCAACCAAACCGTTTGGTTTGTGAGCAAAGCCTGGTTTGGATGAGATGCTGGTGTTGGTGCCGGGTGGAGACGGGCTGTTTCCACGAGATACTGAACCCTGCTGAGGTGGAGATACAGAAGGTGGAGGTTGAGGTTGGCTCTGTAGAATGTTTCTCAACTCTTCCTTATCATCCAGGGTTTTCAGTTCTAGCTTGTCAAAGGGGTCTTCCTCCCGCTCAAAGTCGGCTAGATTGAGGTTTTGTGGCTGTGGAGTGTTGTCCTGGGATATTCTGGGGCCAAGTCTGGGGGCAGGCAGTGGAGTGAGGATGGCGTTGTGACTCAGCCCTGCCAGGACAGGGTTCAGCGCTGGTGGTGGAAGGTCCTGGTCCTCTGCCGCAGAGCGAAGGTTGTTCCCTCCACCTCCATCAATGTCCCCAGACACCGACTCCCTGCTCTCAGCCTCCTGCTTGGCTGCTGCTTCCTCTGCTCTGACGGCTGCTGCTCTGGCATCAGCAAGATCCATCCCCCAGCGAATGCTACGCCTCTCCAGTGTAAAGTCATACTGTTCAGAGGATAAAATAAAGATAAGGATGGAAAAGGGTCCGGAGAAAATAATAACAGTGTTAGTCATTGATAATAATGTTAAAATTCTAAAGGTTCTTAATACCAGAAAGCTTGGACAGAAAAACAAAAAACGAAATTAATTCTTTTCAGATATGCCTTTCTATGATCGTTTATTTTTAACAAAAAAATATTAAGAGAGATGCAAATGTATTTATTAATAGAGTGTATTAAAATTATGTTTATCATTTATATTCTATCATGATGCATATTTGTAAAATTTGTAACAAAAACAACAGCAAAAAAGCAAGACAATCCAGATGTTCTCCGAACCTTTGTGTCTGCAAGTACAGCTTTATAATCTGGCATACAGAAACCAACGGGTAACCCCACTTTAGCTGGACATCGGAATTTGTCGTTTAACTTGAAAGGAACATCATCAAGGTAGCAGGTGGGTCCTGTGTACAGAAAATGATGATTACTGGAAGCATAGGCAGAGGTTGATGACCAGAAACAGCAAGTTAACAGACTAACAGACTGGGAACTGCAGCAGTTTCTGAGGAAATAATCCACCTCAGGGGATCTTCAGCTATCGATTATTTTAGCAAATCATTCCTTTTGTGACGATTTTCTTTATTAGCTGGCTAATATAAAAATAATGCACATCTGTCCACATTTCACAAACATGGCACACTGCAAAAACTGATCAAACATAAAATAAAAATGTCTTGCAATCAGTGTGGTTGACCTTTAATTTGAGCAGGTTAACAAAATAATCTGTCAATGGAATTAGTAGTTTTGCCCTTAATATAAGATCAATAGATATTACGCACTTGAAATAAGATAATACCTTGTTTTCTTATTTTATACTTAAATCATCTTATGCCATTGGTCATCGATCTAATTACACCTATAATACACCTATATTACTTTGATTTAAATTGTTGCTGTGTAAAAGTTAAAAGAAATATGTAAAAAATTAATTTAATGTTTAAAAACACCTCTTAATATCTTCAGCATAGAACATATTCACTTACAAGGTTTTTCATCCTTAATGCCAAACATATGTATTTAGGGCTGCAACAACAAATCGATAAAATCGATAAAAATCGACTTTTAAAAGCGTTGGCAACGAATTTCATCAACGATTAGTTGTGTCGCGCGATTAATGCGTCATCAGCCGCCGTGGGGCGCTTCCTCCATCCCAACCCCGTTCTCCTGCTCCCACAGGAATCCCTCTCAGCGCTGCAGTCAGATGCGCAGGATTTTACCCTCAGCGTCCAGACTGCAAATGAAGCGCGCATACGCCGGGATTGACGGCGCAAACTGATCACAATTATTAAAATAGCCTGCGCTTTGTAAAGCGAAAAAAGTCGTAACATGCAACTATTGTAAAAACAAATTAACATGGCACGGAAGCACCTGAAAAGGAAACACGTTGTAGCCTTCAATGGCAGTGAAGAGAGCTGATCAGCAGGGTGAGCAACCATGTTTGTTTCGTTTTAAAGTGGGGAAACGTAACGTTAGTTTCTCAGGTAGCTCGTCTGATGCTTTCCTTACCTTGTTAGTAGGTTACAGACAGTGATAAGGTTGGCTACTTATTTTACTTTTAATTTCATTTGAATTAGCTTAAGCAGCGTTTATATTTTCTTTATAGATAAATGAACTTGCAAATTGTGAGGGGAAGGCTTTTAAAGTTTAAATCTTCTGGCAAAGATAAAGTAAAGAATATCCTGCAATTTATGGAAGTAAAGCAGAATAAAATCCAGCAAGATCAGTAATATGTCAATTAATTATATGCCACATTCCCATGTAAATATCTGTCTTTGGAGGATGTGTTTTTTAGCACCCCTAGTTCTCTCATTTTTATTCCAAATACAATTTATAATTTGAATCACAGGGCTATTTTTATCTCTATGGTTCAGTATTTTCTCAAGTAGCAACTTTAACTGCTATACTTTCCTATCTTAAAAGGCAGAACTCTTCTATTCTAAAGAAACCTCATTTGTTGAAATGGGGGGGCCTATTGTTTGAACCCCTTAGGGGCTTCTAAAAACAAAAATACCTGTCTTTTTTTGCGCTTTATGAAACAAAGTACCCTATATTTTGTGGATGTACAGCTACATTTTTTTACTCTCATGTAAGTTTGCGTAGTTTTTACACATTTATTTTTCATATTGTACCAGTACAGTTAATGAGCAACCTGTACTTGTGTGCTTGTTTGTTCTGTCTAAAATGTTTATTTTGGAATAAAGAGGTTAATATAAAAAATATTTTTTGTCCGATTCATCGATTAATCGAAAAAATAATCGTCCGATTCATCGATTTTTAAAATAATCGTTAGTTGCAGCCCTATATGTATTTCTGTAAAGTATTGGCTTAATAATGGTTTTAAGTGGGCTGTTATTTTAGCAAATGGGGTTTTTGAATTTCCTCTTTGAACTGAATACCCCTTTGGGATTACTAAGAGTATTTTGAATTCAATTCAATTTCAGTGTCTGTATACTTCAGCTAACAATAATTTCATTACTAAATAATTCACTAATAATCATCCAATCTCAGTATTTTTTTTCGGCCCCAGGGTTAAGGCTCTGCATTCAAGAGGGAATAAAGTTGTTAACAGCTAGAAATGCTACCAGATCCAATTGTAAATATTAACATAAAACTGCAAAGACAGCTTTAAATCTAAATTACGAATCTAAAACGAATGTATGAGACATAAGCCCTTACCATTGTTATGCGCATCTGATCCAGACCTCCTCGCAGCCATTTAGACCCTACAGAAAGAGTGCATTAGTTTAGTGTTTCAGGGAAGTTTGTAGCAAGAAAAATGACAAGCAATGACTTTTTTCAGAGGTTCATATGGTTCAATAACTATCCTAAGGCATCTAAAATCACATGTTCCAAAGTAGCATGATATAAAATAGAAACAAAATGAAAATGAAGTAGTATCAGGTACTAAAAGACATATATCCCTGAAAAAAAAAAAAATTTTCTGACCAAATAATACAAACTCAGTCAAAATCAAAAGACAACTTGAAAGACATTATTCTGATAACAGCTTTGCTTATTCAATAATGTAGATCATGAAAACAAATCTGGCAAATCATAGAGGCATGAGCAACCACATCAGAAGATTGCAGAACGCGTGTTTTTTTTTTTAGTCAGAGGCTTTAGCTGTTAGATAATTTGCTACAGGAGACCCTTGTGGTAGCCTTCAACATCTATAACAGCTCTTTTAGGAAACCTCTATAATACCATACGAGTGATAGCAACTTTCCGTTTAAACTGAAAGGCATTTTTGATTTGAAATTCAGATAATTAGCTTATTGTTTAGTTTATCTAAAACTGGAGGTGCAATTTTTCTTTGCACCAACTGCATCATATGTTTGGGTCAAGGGTATATTGTTTCCATTGCCTTAAATCCATTCTTGTCCAAAGTCCATTGTCATGGGATTTTACTGTTGCAAAGAAAAGTCCTTTCTGCTAGCTTGCATGCATGCATGGATTTACACGCAAGATACAACTCTATATTTCCTTCTCTGTGTCAGCAAACACATTTGAAGCCAACTACAACCATCTAAAGGGCCGGGATGAGGAAAATTAGTGTATCTTTTTTAAAGCAACAACAATTAAAATAGTGTACTTTATTTTGTGGTTGCATTTTTAATAATTGTGACAATATATCGCAAAAGTGAATGACTGTACAGCTCCATCCACAACCTTAGGTAGGTACCAAAATAGAGATACAAAAAAAAAGGATGTTAAAGAGATGTACCCCCACCCGTCCACCAATGATAACACAGTACACAGTGGAGTATGTTAAAGACAACAGCAACCTTCTTGTGTTTTCCTCCTAAGCAAATACTTGACAGTCATTTACATCTGAAATCAATTCCGCTATTTGGTCACACAGAAACAGAGCCTGGTTGTGACCAAAACAGAGGAAACTGTTCAGATACAATGAAAAAAAAAAAACGAGACCGTTTCCTTTTTTATAATACCACTTATCACATTAATAAAGAGTATATTTACAAGCAAAATCCCGAACTTTAAATTAAGCTCAAAATGATCTTTTAGCATTTACTTGGTTGTGTTTGATGTTGATAAATGCGCCACGAACCGCACATGACCAGTTCTCTTATCGTGGTTGATCTCTAACGCTGGTTAACGATGTGTAAACTCAACTTAGTCGTCAACCTATAGTTAGTAACTAACAGGACTTGGGGATAAAGTTATATAACACCACACCATCACAAGTTGCTGTTCCGCATTGCAACAGCTTTGCATGAACTCGCGGAAACACTGATGCTATGTTGATATAGTTCTGATATGAATGATAAAAAACAGTAAATGTAGGCTAGCTAACTTACACAACAGGATGACAGGAAATAAAATTCATTATAAGCTAACTTAATCTCAAACTAGCTCGTAGTAGGTCATCAACTGACAAATATGTCTTATAATACGCGCTGTCAGACTGTCAAGTTTCACACATTACAACACATTTGGACAGCTTTAGCTAGTTTACAGCACAGCATAAATCTCTAAGCGTAATCCAAACGCGCGGATTAAAAAACTCAACGTGGCTTATTTTACCAGCCAATATGGAAAGATAGGGGGGACTTAAAGTATACACTGACGAACACAGCAAAACACGGTGTATTGGTCCTCGGCGTACGCCACCGTTCATGCTAATACGCTTAGCATCGGCTGTGGCCTGACTAACGTTACGTGCTGCCACCGCCCCTCACACAGCTAAACAACTGGCCCGCAAATTGAAAATATTGCTTTTCTCACCAGTATCAACTCAGTCCCCTCTTGTGAAATCCAAACGAAGCCTATCCACGATGAAAGTTCGACAAAAACTGCTCTCGGAATGAGTTTTAGTCCAAGTAAAACCTCTTTCCTGCTTTGCCGTAGGTCGCCATCTTGGTTTGTCGGGCTCCCTCCAGTGGTTCCTGTGTGATGTCACTCACCCCATGACGTCAGACTGGACGGATTTTAGAAAACATTAGGCAAAAACTGGACAACAAAAACATAAATGTTTAACATTTTTTTTAGATTAAAGTGTGCCTAACAATTAGAATATCAGCGGAAATGTCATTTACCGAAATAATCAAACTGCATTCAAGCGAAGTGAAACTCATTTTCAAAATGTTATATTTCAAAATTTACCTGATCAATTACTCATTATCTTTTAATGAGAACTTAAATTCAATAAAAATCCATTATCCTGGTTTAATATAATTGTTTGTTCCTTTAATGTTAAATATGTTAGATCATTAATATGTTTAAAGAATGTAAAATATATGCCTTACAAATCAAGTAAGTTATTAATAGTTATTAGAGGGGAAACATTAAAAAAGCAAAATAACTTTCTAAAAAGTGTGCAAAGAATTTACGTAATTGCTAAAGCACCTATGATTCCGTTTTGAGCAGTCTTTTTGACTTCAAAGCTGTCAACAACACCCTCATTTCCTATCAGTTAAAGGTGCCATAGGATAGATTTTCTAACGTTTTTTTTACATTGTGGC